GAAACACTGGTGGAAATTTGTATGAAGGGGACGATGTCAGAGATGTAGACTGAAGTGTGTCACACTGTGAGCCTAGGACATCTGTAGGTTATCAATCACTGTAACCACTGCAGTACTAACATGAGACACCGCAGAACAGATCAACGACTTACACAAAGATCCAAACTTTATCAAAGTGCAATTTCAATTTGTTCTAATAGTTATTAGACATAAAATATCACTAATAGCCATAGAGCCACTTGTCAATGGCTCTCTCATTGGCTAATGCATCTTTTTGCCAATCCACATGCCACCGGAGGTTACCAATGACTTGACTATAGTTTCTCCCCAAGCTAAGGCGCCATGCACCGAATGCTTTTTTATTGTAGACGTGAACAGCTTCAGACACTTTTGGATAGTCCACGATGCTACGCAACTGCTTCTCCAGATGTGCTTGCACATCTGGGAATTTGTGAACCACATTGTGAAGTTCATCCTTGTCCAGTGTGAGATCTGCAAAAGAAAAGCAGGAGAAAAACAATTAAAGGACACTGTTACACCCCTCTGCAGCCCCTAATTGACCACACCTAGTCAGGTGTGGATAAAAGCACACCTGAGGCGGACTTTCGAGAAACTCACTAGTTTTTGCCTTGATGGCACCAGCCAATTTCACCTGCTATGCCAATTTAAGATAAAACCTCTTCTCACTAACACTCTGGTATTCGTCTCCTTTTTTATGTTGCGGCTTTTGAGCCGGGTCGTAACAGACACATACGAAGACAAGCTGAAGTTAGCATCAGAAGCTTTAGGCTCACCAAAGAGTTGCGCGGAAACACTCAGGCCATCGGCGTACGTGATGTATTTCCACTGATCACTTCGCAGCATGTAAGTAGAGGCGTTGACGTTACAACCATGATATTCGCTGAATGCCCAGGCTCTCTGCTGTTGGTTAGAAAAAGCAATGGATGTGGACAGCAGAGGAAGGAGGGACTGGCCACTTAGATTCCCTACTGCTGAAATCCCAGCAATCTCTGCAAAATATAAAAATGTGTCACAACGTTCGATTTGAAATAATCAAATCAATATTTACCACCGCTTTCATGCTGTTTTTATAGACAGTAGTCAAACAGCAGTGGCAGCACTGAAAAAAAAGGCAGGAGGCTGAGCTGAGCACAGGTCAACTGGTTTGGAGACAAGATCAGAGAGGCAAGGCTGAGACGGTTTGGACATGTGCAGAGTGGATAAATGGAACAAAAGATCTCAAAGATGGAGAAAAAGAGGAAGACCACAGAGAAGCTTTGAGCATGTAGTGAAGAAGGACATGCAGAGGGCTGGTGTGAAAGAGGAGGATGTTAGGGAGAGGGTGACATGAGGCAGATGATCCACAACATCCTATGTTGTCTGTCTGCCTCCTTACCCAGCACAGTGGGATAGAGATCAACCAAAGATACAAGCTGGTTGACCTGCTGGCCAGAGATGAGCCCAGGCCCCATGATGAGAAGGGGAACGTGGGAGCTTCCTTCAAACATCGACATCTTATAGAACTGCCGGTGCTCCATGGCCAGCTCCCCGTGGTCAGCCGTAAATATCACGACTGTGTTGTTAAGCACGCCGGTCTCTCTCAATGCAGAAATCACTTGACCTGGTGAGACAGAGCATGTGGAAGATGGAGTAAGAGCCAATCCATTTTGGGATTTTCTGTGAATTCAATCAAAAACTTTATTCAAACAGCAGAGAAAAGATAACAGTGCCACAGACAGTGTGTCTGTGAGGTTCATATGCTTTAACTCTCCACTTTTAAATCTTGTAAAAATGATGGTTTGTATCTTTTTTTTTCTACACTGCATTTGTAAGCTCAAAGAAAACACCATTCCAGGCATGTTTGGTTTTTTTCTTTAAGATCTCAAAACCATCTTTTCAGTCCAAAATAGCAGCTGTGAGACCAGAATGTAGCGAATTACTGCTGTCAACTAACCCAGCATGGCATCGGTTTCGGCGCACATGGCGTAATAGAAGGCCCGAATGCTTTTGACTTCATCGTCGGTAAAAACACCGCTGCAGTTTTTGGTGAAGGTGGAGTAGTAGTCAACAGGGTGCATGGCAGCCAAAGGCAACCATTTGGGAACAGAGATGAGGTCAGAATTCACCTGTGCATAAGAAAAAAAAACAAAAATTCGTTTCACTCAGGGATTTTTTTTTTGACACAAAGTGCAATTAAAAAAAACAGAGACGGAAAAAGCATGCCTTTGTGAGCCAGTATGGTGACGTACGGAAGGTGGATCCCCCTGCAGTCGGCCCCAGGGATTCAGTCTTATACGGGTGAGGTAAATTGAGGCCAAGGTAAAGAGCGAAAGGCTCGGGTGTGGTGGACGCAGCTGTCTGGTGGATCCACTGCGTGGCCTTATCTGTGTTTTCCCAGTCTTTGCTCATGATCTTTACAGTCGACTTGTTCCCAACAAGTTCAGAAACAGGCCGGCCCTCTTGGCGCAGGAGGAACTGGACGTCTCGTGTCCATGCCTCAACTCGATTACTGCAACACATGTACAAAAACAGGAAGTGGAAAAATGTGAAAGGCACTGTTTGGAAACAAATGCAAATGCACACAGACAGTCTGTTACTGCCACTAGCATTTTTCCTTGTGTGATTGTGTGTGTGTGTGTGTGTGTGTCTGTGCATAATATTGATCTTAATTTGGGGAAAAAAAATAAGAAGAGGAAAGCGAAAGTGTTTTCCTACTGAGACCATGCTACACGCTAAACCTTACATTTACAACAGTACCTGACAGAGTGAGCCCCAGATGTATAATCCAGCTTGCCTATCATCTTGGTACGATACCCATTCTCCTTCAGCAAATCCATCCACGTGGTTGTGTTTGCATCTAAGCACTTGTAGTTGTTCCACGACTGAGTGAGGTGAACATACTGACCGCTCCACATTGCTGAGAGCAAAGTTTAAGCAGCTGAATTACAACATGCAATTTTAAAAGAAAGTCAAAGTAGATTTTTTTTCTAGAGGGCAAATATGTCGCTTACCTGCTCTGGAAGGGCAGCAGATGGGCGAGTTGGTGTAAGCATTAAGAAAGGTGGAGCCGAGCTGCCTGAGATAGTTTGTATATGGCAATTGTACAAGTTTGCTGCCAGGGTCAAAGGACAATCGACCATCCTCAAGAGACACAAAAAGTCATATGGGGATCAAGATACACAGATGCAAGTTATACATGAAGATAACAAGGAAATATTCAACCACAAAATATAAAGCATCTCTGCAATGCTGTTGAATTTTGATGGACAATACAGCTTTCTCTTTCTGTTTTAACCTATTAAGAGTAACTATCCAGTAATAAAGCACTGAAATTTAAGTCATACTTACAAATGCATCACTCATCACCATCACAATGTTGGGTTTGGATGCTTTCTGGCAAATACTTTGACCACATTGCTGAGAAAGGAAAATGAAACCCAGCACTATTATGTTCATGACAGCTTCGTGTCCTCCTGAAGTTATAGACGTGAAAGAAAAGACCCGTCGGAAAAGCATTCGACTTTTATTAGTGGGCATCACAAAGTTCCTGCTCGCCTACAAGCGCCTCAGCCTGATATGTTGTACACATCCCGGTTACGCTTTCAAAATAAGAGGTTTCATTTTTGTTGACGTTCTAACATGCATTAAAAACTGACTATTTATGCAAATATCACCGTTTAAGCGGAAAAAAATTTAAAAACAAATATTTAACATAAATCACACCTACTGTCAGTAATTCTAACACCAGCAGGAGATGAGAAGAACTTAGCAGCAAGAACACAAATAATATCAAAACCAATCTTACCTTAGCCTGTCATTACAAAATGCCAACTCTAGAGGGCAGCATTTATCTAAGCATAAAAAGAGCAAATTCGCACCATTGATGTATTCAAACTCCAAACCCCTAATTAGATAAGGAAAAGATGTGTGGATGGAACTCTTAATCAAATACAATCTGTGTTTAATTAATTAGCGCCAATCTTTACTGTAGATCTAATTACGGAACATGGACACAGAGACATATCGCAATTTCTGTGTAACTAACTATAACTGTAAAGGCTCTCGGAAAGATGGCTCTAGGTAGCATAACATTACAAAATGTTATCTTATGCCCTGTAATTATCACTGAATTGAAATCAGAAGTGATGTCATTGGCCCTAACTAGCTGTTGGTTGAACCAACAGTAAGTTGCAGTGACGTTCAACAGGTGATACTGCCGCCCACGCTGGGAACAACGACCGCCGCGAGGTGGCGTCTTGATCCTCAGAGTTGTTTATCTTTAAACTAGGACTTCAGCACAAGGATGATGTCTGCCGTGCCGTGGATTCATTTAATCTTTCCACAAAATAATAAGTTTGATTTACATGCGAATATATAAGAAGCTGGCTGATACATTCACCTTAGATCCCCAGGCTAAACACTATGAAACAATTCATACTATTGACAGTGCTGCAGGCATCATCCAACAAAATCGAGCTCTTCTTATTTTTGGTGATTGTGCACAGATGCAGACGCTGCAGTAAATCTGATAATGTGAAACTATTTGTGTGGATTACATCGCAGATGTAATGTGTGTGTGCACAGAGACCAAATGCCGATGCAGGGCTGGGGTTGTAGAGCTGTAGACCTATAAGAAGATTCATAGCTGATGTATGAGCCATGAATCGTTGCTGCATCACATACCATAAAGCCAGGGCATCTGTAATTTCATTAAAATCGAGGGCCGAGAGGGTTCCATTTCTTCTCTCATTCTTTGAATCAAAAGTCTAGAAAGAAGTCTGGGTGATACTTTGTTAGATCTGTTCGTATATTTTCAATAAATCGAATCAGATTTAAAGCCTCTCCTCTCGAACGATATTTTTTGGCGAACATTTCTTTGTGTAGTCTTTCAGCTGTTTGACTTTACTTATCATCTGGTTGTGTGCCACACTTGTTCCAGAAGGCGGAAGGAGGGGGCAGTGAAGCCCCGCGCATGCGCCCAGAGGTTGTTTTTCCCCACACTGGCAGTCGTTTAAAGTGCGCTGAGCTACCGGGGTTTCCTTGTCTGACTGGGACTAGCGAGCAGATAGGCAGATGATAACAGCATCAGTTGCTGTTACTAGATCTCAATGAACTGCCCTCGAAGAAGCCACTGATCGTGCCTGCTGCTTTTTGCAGAGGTGGTAAACTGATCAGTGTCCGGAAAAACGGCTCTATGAGATATTTCTTCATTGAGTCTTTTCTTTTTTTTAGTATTTCAAGGTCTGTGTAGCCTCTTTCCACCATGGTGCTAGGAAAGGTAAAGAGCTTCACAGTAAGCTATGACTGTCTCAATGACAGCAATGTCCCCGTTTTCTCGAGCGGGGACTGCGTCTCAGGGAGGGTGATCATCGAAGTCACCGGAGAAATCCGCGTGAAATCTCTCAAAATCCACGCGAAAGGATTTGCAAAAGTTCGTTGGACTGAATCGAGAAATGCTGGATCCAACACTGCCTACACGCAAAACTACACAGAAGAAGTGGAATATCTGAACCACAAAGACATCCTAATCGGACACGAGAGAGGTGAGGACTTGTTTTTTGATTTTATTTTCCTGCAGAAGTTCTTGCTTCTCACTTGACCTGATGGGTGAGATGCTCTTAGTGGCCTCGGGCTCAATGAAAGGTGTAGCTGAAGGATAACAAGAGTGATAGACACGATTAAAAAGTTGACCAACTTTCATAATGCTGCATTTTCTGACGGCGCTTGTATGTATGATGTTTTTACGCTCGTAACATACAGCTCCGTGGTTGCTTGTTTGTGTCAAGGTGTCAGAATGAATGACAGCAGCTCTGCTCGATGTATTTAACGTCCAGCGTAAGATTGGTTTTGTTTTTGCTTCTCTTTATTAGGCCCAGAGAAATAAAGCAGTGTTTAGAGTCTCTGTAAGTGTATTTCATTGCAGAACCACATCTTAAAGAGTGTTTCTTTGTAGCTTTTCTTAAGTTTCCCCCTATTGTTCAAAGCGGTTCAATCCTGTTCAGAAAACTGGACCGGGAGAGGCGGGGTAAAGACGCAAGCCCCTACCTCCGGCTGCCTGCCATTGGCTGCGATGTTCATCTGTGGCTGATGACATCATTACCCTGCAGACAGAAAATTCTGCAACTTTTCAGTGAAGGGGAAAAAAAGCTGTAAAATGTAGCTACCAGATGAAAGTACGTGCGGTTTGAAACGTATAAGGAGCTGCAGTGCTTGATACTTTGTCCCTATACTTATCCCTATGGTTAAACCCTTGGTAAACGTGTATTCTGCTAGGCGAAATGTTGTCTTGTTATAGGTGTGTTTAGCAGTCTAACTGTGCTTAACCAACGCTCATTTCTGTACTTTTATTTAGTGCACTTTTTAGTGCAAAAAAGGGGGAGGAAACCCAGACAGTTAAGGAAGGTAACATTTATACCGTTACGATAATAATAATAATAATGAAAACTATATACTAGCTCAGCCCTTAAGCAAACATGATAACTCATAAAATGATAGCGATAAAAAATTAATTTTAATAAAATCGAAAGATTGTCGTTTAAAGTGGAGAAATTGCTGCAGTTTTTGTTCCGAGTATGCTCTTTGATACGTTGTTGCCGTGTAGTAGGTAGGTCGGTACTGCGGTGTCGCACAGTGAATGCGTAATGAAGGCTGGGTGGCTGTGGGAAGCTGCTCGCTCCGGTTTAGGCCGGTCTCCTCCTGCTGGAGTCTGCCGTTTGAGTGACAGCTCTGCACTTGTTTACCACACGGCTGCTGCTGCTGCTTGGAGGGAGGGAGGGAGTGCTGAGCTGGCAGAAGCGCACCCTAGCTCTTTACAAAAATCACTCTTTGTGTTTTAACTGAAAAAAAAAATATATTCATGTATTTTTAAAAAAGAAAAAAAAAAGAAAATGCAGTTCGAATTGTACAACCCTGTCCAAAACTACATTTCATTCTGCTGCTAGGCAGTGAAATTCTAAGTTTCCTGTACTTGTGCCCGATTTTTTTTAAATGTAGTATTTATTTATTTTTAAAGCGCAGATTTAAGATTTTTGTCGAACCTCCACACAGCCCATAATAGCCTCAATGTATTAGCATCATACATTGGATCTCTTTGATTCACTTCATTGTTCTTGGGAATAACACTAGAAGAAAGAAGGAAGGGAAAAGGGCTCAGTTTCTGACACCATCAAACAATCAACTTCTTTTACTTTCCTCTAAATATTGGTGTACTGTTTATCTCTCAATACATTAACATAATTTTTTAAATCGGCCAGATATTATAGTAAATTCCTTTTTATTCTCTTTTTTCTCCCCCACCCTGTGTTTTTTTTGTTTTGTTTTTTTTCTGGTATGACTTTCAGATGCCTTCGTAGAGCATTTTACGCAGGTATGGTATATATGTGTTTGGACTATTGTCCTCCTTGTTTTTCAGACGATGATAACTCGGAGGAAGGACTCACCACTATCCATTCAGGAAGACATGAGTATGCATTCAGCCTTGAGCTTCCACAGACGTAAGTGTTTCATAAATATAAGGAGACTTGCAGTTATTTTATTTTGGGTTTTTTTTTTTTGGCTGTACTGTGATTATAACATTATTTCTCCCTTCTCTCCTGCTCTGCTCTTTTCCTGCAGACCTCTGGCTACCTCTTTCGAAGGGAAACATGGCAGCGTGCGCTATTGGGTAAAGGCAGAACTCCACAGGCCATGGCTCCTACCCATGAAGACCAAGAAAGAATTTACAGTCTTTGAGCACATTGACATCAACACTCCATTATTGCTGGTAAGCTTACGACTCAATTCACTTGACCAGTGAATGAGCCTGTTAGCTGGTGATGGCACTGAATGAAGGAAATAAAAACGTAGTATGAGTCACTTAAGGCATAATTTTCCTAATTATGGGGAATTTCAGCAGGTTACACTGTAGACACCCTGAATCATGGAAAAATAAATACAGAACAAGTGTTGAAAACATTTGGCTGCTATTTATTGTTATAACTATGGAGTAGCTGGTGTTTGATTATCAATCTAGCTTTTATTGTGGCAAAAAATAATGTCTTTATTTTTCCCCACCTTCCCCAGTCACCACAGGCCGGCACAAAAGATAAGACACTTTGCTGTTGGTTCTGCACCTCAGGTCCTATTTCCCTAAGTGCCAAAATTGAGAGGAAAGGATACACCCCAGGTAAGAATAAGTGAATAATTAATGACTTTCTTAGCTATCTCGTAACCAGATAAGCAAGTGGAAGTCCCTGCGGCTTCTGCATTGATTATCAAAAACACACCTGATAAATAAATGTAGATAAACTTCAGCTAACTTGCTTCCTGTCCTTTTAACTCTGTAGGGGAGTCAATCCAGATTTTTGCTGAGATCGAGAACTGCTCATCACGCATGGTCGTGCCAAAGGCGGCCATCTACCAGACTCAGACCTTCTACGCCAAAGGGAAGATGAAGGATGTCAAGCAGCTGGTGGCTAACCTGCGGGGAGAATCTCTGTCCTCGGGCAAAACGGAGACGTGGAACGGAAAGATGCTGAAGATCCCGCCAGTCTCCCCCTCCATCCTGGACTGCAGCATTATCAGAGTGGAGTACTCTCTCATGGTGAGCACAATAATGAGGCGTTTAGATCACTTTCACATAATCTTTCAGTGTATATCCAGATATTGTAGATTTGGAAACACAAGTCTTGCTACTTCCAGTACACTCCCCTGACCTTACCACCACCACATTATTACTTGTTTTAAGTGCCATTCTGTTGTAGAAGTTATATTTCCTACTAAGTCAATATCTCTTCTGGTAAAGCACCTGGCTGACTCAGCTCACATTGCCAAAACTAGGCCTTGGATTGCACCAGTTGTTATCTCCACATGCAGCTAAGAGCATTAGCCCAGAATATCTGTGGCAGCACCTGCCATCAGGGTGCTTATACCTGCTTTACACCATGAACAGAAATGCTAGGTTGCTTATACCTTTTGTAAGCAACTGATCTCATGACAGTGACCTACATATTGTCAAACTAATGCCTAACCCAGTCCTGGTTCGAGTACTTCTGAGAAGATAAAGGAGCCATTTCATTTTATGCTGACTGCTCAGCTCCAGAGCCTTTTTATTAGACTGATCATAGCCCTTTTAAATTTTTTATAACCCTGTATGACATGTTATTTTATTTTTTGCATATGCTAAACGGTTGTGGTGTTCTTATGTCTGTGCTCAGGTGTATGTAGACATACCTGGAGCGATCAACCTGTCCCTGAACCTGCCTCTTGTCATCGGAACCATCCCTCTTCACCCATTTGGTTCCCGCACCTCCAGCGTCAGCAGCCAGTGCAGCATCAGCTGGCTGGGCATGGGTCTGCCTGAAAGGCCGGAAGGTACGTTTGATCTCATTGTCATGAAGCATCTTTTTCTATTTTAATCAAGGGATCATAATCACAAGAATGCTGAAGTGTTGTTTCGTCTTCATTTGCAGCTCCTCCAAGCTACGCTGAAATTGTGACGGAAGAGCAGAGACAGAGCTGTCTGGATGTCCCAGCAGCCCGCGAGGAGCTGGACGGACCTCTCTTTGCCTATATTCACGAATTCCGCTTCCAGCCCCCTCCTCTGTACTCTGAGGTAAGCACCAAATGGCAAATGACCTTCCTTTAGAGTCTCAAAAACAGTTTGTTTCCTTGAATAAACACCTTTTTTCCCCCTCTTTTCCCCCATTCTAGATTGATCCTAACCCAGATCATGCCAGCCGTACAGAGGAGCGCAGACTTGATGCTTGCCCATCACGCTGAGGATATCCCAGCAATTCCCCTGAGATGTTTGGGGAAACTCAAAGAAGCCTAGCTGTAAGGCTCAGCTTTGATTATTTTCTCAGCTGACAGCATTTACAAAATGCTGTTGACAATAAGAGGAAAAACAAGAATATCCAACCAAAAAAACCCAAACAAAAACGAGTGAGTCAGGTTGGACGAATCTGTTCCTGCCTTCCCTCAGCAAGAGAAATGGGAGTCACCAGTTCCGGGTGTCTTTCCTTTCCTGTGTCAGCTTGCTGGGGGTGACATATGTACAGATGAACATGTATCCATTCTGTATGCGAAGAGGGCGGGGTAAAAAAAAAAAAAATAAGACCCTCTAGTAGCGCGAGCCCTGGTGATGGTATTGACAACGACAATGACGATGACGAGGAAGAACCGCCACGGCTCAGCCTGCCAAGCTCCTCTTCACCCCCGACTCTTCTGTACCTGTGGCACATAAGGACTTAGCTCCTCTCACAAAGGACAGAACTTGTCATGTCCGTTCATCAGCAGAACTCACCTTAAGGAAATGGGATGAAGAGAAAAAGGTGTCACCACCATAGTCCTGAAAGTAAGCTTTCAGCAGCAGCATCAGTCATCAAAAAAAAAGCAAATACTAGGTCCTTCTGCCTCATTTATGGATTTGTTTTGCACATCTTGTTCTTTACTTGAGTTGTGTGGCTCTGTTTAATGAGAGTTTAAAAAATAATCACTAATAGTTTAGTTTCAGCCTTGCAACGCACCAGACTATGAGACTATGAGACTGAAATCTGCATCACTCTGAGCATCGCTGAGAGTAGGATTTGTTTTAAAAAAGCAAAAGCAAAACGAAGACTGAAAAGTACAAGAACAATGCACTGAAATTGTTTAAGTTGTTTAAGAATTTTCATTTTCTTGTGACTAACAACAACCAGACAGTACTTGTACAACAGACTTAATCTTTATGTGGAAGCTTTCTTCTTTTCTCTCTTTTTTTTTAAACTACATTGCCTCCTAAGCTTGAATCTGTGGTTTCCCTCCTTGTTATTCTGTTCTCGTATTCGCTCCAGAAAAGCTTGCAACAATTTTAGCTTCGTGGTGGCTCTGGATTTGGACTAGCAGGGTTGCAGACTTTTGCCACTCAATTTGAAGCTGACGGGAAAAGCGCTTGCTTGCGTGGGTGTGTGTATAATTTGTGTGTGTGTGTGTGTGTGTGTGTGTGAGAGACATAAAGTGGTGCCCTATTGAGGGACTCACCCTAATTGTTTGCAGCCCCTCTACTCCTAATCTCAGGGCAAGCCAGGCTTGCATAACTGCCCGACTAGCACTGTCTCAGGTGGTCTTCTCACTTGTTAAAAGGAGGAAAAAGAGAGAGAGAAGATAAAGTTTTGAGGTTTTTGTTTTAATTGCACTGCTTAGAAAAAATAATGAAGTTTTTGTTCACTACCAAAACGAGAGGCAGACCTGCAGAGGAGCGAGGCAGCTTTTTCTTTTTGAGACGAATCACATTCCCTTTATGTCCTGCTGCACTTTCCCACTTCATCCATTACAGACTTTACCAGACCAGTGAAGCCAGGATGCTAATTCCAAAAAAAGAAGAAAAGATGGAAAAATATTTTTGAAATAAGAAAGTAAATTCAGCACAAATGAAATGCTGGGAATGTTGCTAAACTTCTGTTCATGCTGGTCAGAGCAAGTAGTCGTAGCAGTAGTAGTAGTAAATTGAAATGAGTAATACATTGGTTTCCTAACTCATTCATGATAAAAGACCAGCTGTAACAGAGGTTCAGCATATTCAGGAAAAGATGACAAGCAGCACTTTAAAAAAGAAAGGAAAAAAAAAACACAAAATAAGAAAAAAAGTAGCATTCAGTGGTGAAGGTCTGGATTTAATAACTACTTGGTATTAACCATGTGTTAGAGGATTTTTAAGTAAAGTGGTGTTGTGTAGGACGCAAATGCATTATTCAGTCTTTTTAAGATTAGTAACTCTTTTTTTTTTCTCCCTAAGTTTACATTTCAAAACATAGCTAAGGCAACTTTGTGTGTGTGCTTGGTGTGTGCATGCTCTTATCAAGATCCTGCTGGCAACTAACCGTACAGCTTCTGACAGTGCTCAGCGAACTGCAGATTATTAAAGTGATCTTATCTTAGTGGCCTTGACACAGAAAGGACTTGATCATGATGCTTCATTTTTCAATGTCTCTGCAACTCTTGTTCTCGTTTCTCTTTGTTTAACACTTGTATGTTTTCAGACCTTTCCGTGTTTTTTTGTTTTTGTTTTTTGGGGGGGGGGGTTGTTTTTTTGTTTTTTAAATGGACAAAAAGGGAAGACAGCAAAAAGACATTTAAAGCAAGGGTTGTTTTAAACAAAGAAACAAAAAAAAGACATCTTGGACAGGCCTCGATTGTGTCATTTTTTTTTTTTTTTTCTGAAGCTGATGAGGGTTGACTATTATCTTTTTCCATGTATTTCTGGGCATTGATAGGTTGGTTTTTATAATTTTAACAAACAACCTTTTGGGTTGGTCTCCCTGACCTGTCTGATCCCCTTCAGGCCAGGGAGTGGCAGCTGTTGATCAGCACCCTTCTCCCTTCAAGAAACATTTATGTAACCTGGGACAAAACACTTTCTTTTTGTGGTAACTAATGTACTTGTTTTGCGATTCTTTGTTGGGGCTTTTATCTTAGGGAAACTGAATCAAGCTACGTGGTAATGAATAAGCTTACATATTTGTTTCAGGTGGGTCAATTCCATAGTCCATTTGCTTGGGCCTCAGAGTAGTCCAGTGTCAAAACTAAGCTAAATTCCTGACCTGAAGAAGGCAGGAACTGAAATGTTCAGAGAGATGGGATGTAGGAGATGGGATCTGAAACATTTTGGAAACAAAGTGCAATATTACTCAAAGAATTTTCTTCATTTTCATTTTTTTTTCCATCACGATGATGTATTGATATTCTATGAATATACTATGTTCTGAATGCTTTAACCTTTCGTCTAGTTCTTCCTCTTGATTTGAATAAACATTTGTTCTAAATTACACAACTGTGGTTTCTGTGTGTGTTTTCCCTCCAAAGCTGTACACGCAATAAGTGTAGGTCAGTTGCACACTTGTTCACCTTTGCTGCGTTTCACTGACTGCCATCATATACAACTGATCACAACAAAGCATCCTCTAACTACAAAAGCAAATGTTGTTTAAATGACTAATCATTATCCAGTGCTTTACTTAAAAAAAATAAATAAATAAAAAATCTATACAAATGGGTCACAAGAGACTTACAAGCACACAGGCAGCCAATCATCTCTTGAAAAGTAGTACAACACTGCCCCTAGAGGTGGTTTGAAAGTAGCACTGATCCTTGCTGGCAAAAGATACAAGGTACTGAGAAGGACACTGAATGGGTCTTAGTTGGATCACAAGTACTAAGATATTGGACGATGCACACATTTTGTGTTAAAACCAAAAACATTTGTGTTGATACAACTTCAAATTCCCTGTAATTTTTTTTAAAAAATACTGCAGTATTTTTTTTTTTTTTTTAGCCCAGTCTATCCTGAAATAAGACATCAGTGTTAAAGTTTGCCAAAGTTAACTGGGCCTAGTTGTTTAAACTCAGATAAATGTTTAACTTGTACAACTTGCAGCTTTCTAACTTCATAGTGCTGCTCTCTTGGTGGTTTGTCTACACATGACCTCTTTACTATGTTTAACAGTCTCTTTGCAGACCAGTAAGTCAATTTCATCTGTAATGCATCGACTTGCATTTTATGTCAGCCCAGTTTTTTCTAATTGATTTTTCTTTACAAACTATGTGCATGTGTGCACAAGTGAGCTCAACAAATTCGATCCCGCCGGATGTGAAAGGATGTGTTGTAGGGCCTTCTGTTTTTATCGCAAATCCAGCTGGGACAAGATGCACAAATGATCTCACTGACATGAAGAACGTCGATGCTGTTGCAGAACTGGACCTCACAGTTTCTGATACTTCTAAGCTCTGTGACGTGCAGTAGAAACGGAGGAATGAAGGAACCGCTTTCAATTTTCTTTCCCAAAATTAACAAGGCAAATTCGAAGAGACAGCTCATCAACTTTTACTGGAAATGTTTGCAAAGTATTAGTTCAAGCCAGCCTCAGTGATGACTCAGCAGCCCGGCCAGCTTTGACCCAGCACTTCAGTTTTCTCTTTGTCTCCTCTTCTCAACCCTCAATCCCCCCTGGCCCCTTTTGACTTTTGTGGGCCCGGGCCTTTGTGGGTTTGTGACCCCTGTAGACTGGGGAGAAAAAAAGGAGGAGGGGATTACTAAGGGAAACCATAGATTGTGGCAGTGTGCATGCATGTGTGTGTGGTGAGAGTGTTGATTAGCAATTGCTGACGCTACACAGGCCTCAGCTGTTTCCTCTCACGGGATAATCCCGCTACCCAGAAGCCCCCATGTGATCCAGAGGTTCTCGGCAACCTGGTGTGACTAGGCATGTTCAGCGTGGAGGGGGATGTTGGGGCTGAGGCCCCTGTAAGCCTGCCTGCCAGTGTCACATCATCACTGTGACATAATAGAAATGCAAACACACACACACAGTGGACTGGAACGCGGCAGTGACGTGAACTCACACATTCTTATGAAACAATTGGATAGCCAGCATAGCCACAGGTCTGATACTGCAATGAAAGCAAAGATCTGGGAATAGGCGTAAATGTATCTCAGAAACTCAAAATTATGACCACTGTTTTTATAAAATGAGAGAGGCATTTCAGCATGATCCACACATTGATTTAGTATAATACAGACATGTATAATCTAAGCCATACGGTCTGACCTCTGCAGCTGACAGACAGAACTGAGCTACTGTGTAGTTATCATTAATAAAGTGTACCCTTTTCTCTCAAGACAAACACATTTTACTACAGATAGACTCACAAATTCTGGCCTTTCTACATCACATTTGTAACTGGATAACCTTATTTTCTAAACTAGTTGCCATGTCACTGAACCATGCTCGCATGAAGATTAAAACAGTACATTTCTCAGCGACAGAGGGATCCAGATATTCTGGAAGGATATAGAATTTAGACGACACAGCCTGCATGAAAGTGAACATTAGCCAGCAGCTAAATTCAGCCAGAGCTCCACCTGTTTTTACTACTGAGCACAAAGAAAGTAGCAAAGAAAGAGCTAGAAAGCCAGACAGCCAAAAACGAAGTAGCCACACGGTAGGACAAAGCTCTTAATTTCCTCGTTTACTATGCTGAGATTTTGCTTGATACAGCTCCAACATTAAAACAACCTGCCTTCTTTTGGGCAGACCCACTTTAATGCCATGAAAGCATCTCTGATACGCTGTATCTTGGTCATCTGTCTGGCAGTCCAGCATTGCCAGAGGATCTTTTGGATCCAGTTTGTCTCATGGTCCATGGATTGGGGTTTTCCCAGGAGATTCACTCCACAGATTCCAGTCAAGTCTAGAAGCTTGACTGGGCTGGAATCTGTGCAGTTTGGAAAGGCAGCTGTCTTCAGGGAGTGCCGTTGCCATGGTGGATGTGTGCTTGGCTTGTAACTACATTTAGGTAGGAAGCCAGCATGTTAAATAACATTCACAGAAATGCTGGGAACAGAGTTTTACTAGCAG